GGCTAGAGGAGTGGGACTCACAGATGGTGCCAGAAAGCAGAGGGAGTATTCAAATGATTCTTCACAGTTTCAGAGCTTAGAGATGCTGCAGCACCAGAGAACATTCACTCTGATAAAATCTCACATATTAAAAAGCGCAATTAACGATTATTTCTCCAGAGCAGCTACGACTACTGTAACAGGAGCTTAAAATGCGTGTGCATGTATGTATGTATGTATGTGTGTGTGTGTGTGCCAGGCATTGTGCAGCAGCAGCCTCCACCTCTCGGGTTACTGAGGAATGCATTTGAAGTCAATCACAATGAAGCTCTCTATCTGCCCAGCTAGCCCTGAAGGGGATATCTGAACTGAACCAAAGCAGTCAGAAAATCAACCCAAAAAATAATCATTAGGTCACACACATCAACCAGCAGTGTGTGTCTGCGTGAAACCCGATTTGGTGATTAGCGTGTCTATATAACTAACTCTGGCTCTTATTGTTATCTGACTTCCTGCATCTTAGTTTGTTAGCTGAGCTGCATACGCCCATTGTTTCTACAAAACACACACCGTTGGCTTTATCTCTCCTGCAATCGTCCTATAACCTTCACACAGACACATCACAGACACACACCTTCTCATCACCAGGTTGCTATAGTCTTGCCATTTTAATTTCACACAATTACAATCCTTCATTTATTTATTTCTGATGCTAAATTAAAATCTGGAACAAATCAGCTCCTGTGGAACGTTAATTTCTGTGAAACCGCGGAGTTGTCAGTTCAGGTATAAAATCCAGGTTATTGCCGCTGTAAAACGAGCTCACACACACACACACACACACACATACACACACACACACACACACACACACACACACACACACACACACACACACACACACACACACACACACACACACACACACACACACACACACACACACACACACACACACACACACACACACTGACAGAGCAACTATAGAGAACAGGATCAAATATATGGTGCAATACCTGATGTCAGCTATGGATCACATTTCTACCTGAGTCACTGCAAATGTTGCAACACCGCTCAGAGGACGCAGCTATGTTCGCTTTGTCAGAACATGGCATGACCCGACAAACAGATTCTTTCTCAGACTCTGTCCTTCAATTTTATGTTTCCCCAGTCTCCTTGTATACATAATTATGTATCCCAACGCTCCCAGATTGTATAAAATGACTCCGACTGGCACCACATGTCTTACAATGGCAGTACTTTATACGTTGCCAAGAACCAGGATTGCATTCACTCCGTAGATGCAGTGGAATATGGCTGTCATCCTACAGTTTCCTTTTATACCGAATGGGAACAAAATACAGTGTTGGAGGGAAATTGAGGGCAACATACAGACGGTTTTGGCCCCAGGTTATGTGTCTGGTGTAGGGGAGCTAGTTGTGTCTCGTTGTGGTTAGGCAGCTATGTGGCGCAGGCAGCTGCTTATAGCTCCTAAAAACTGAGGCAAAATGCAAAGCTGGCCATTTTCAACTCTCCCAAAATCACGTAAAAACAAACCCACACAGATCGGTCTGAGGGGCAGTTGTGTATGTACACACAGCTCAAACCTATGATTATACCCACAGACACACACACACACGCTGTAATTACCCACAGTGACGCACGACTGCCCGCCATACCATGAATTCACATGTATAATATCGTCTCATAAATTAAACATGTCGAAACACAGAGGGTGATTATATATTACTGTTAAAGGTTAGGATAAATATAGATGATGCGCTTTTAAAGACAGATAATGGGCAAACAGCAGCCACAGCATGTAGTTTATGTGGAGGGTGTTGTGTGCATACGGGACTTTAGGGAAGGGGCCCCTGAGCCAGGCTCTGGGGGCAGGGTGTGTGTTTATTTAAGTTGGTGAGTGTGTTTTTCGGGGTCACGCTCAACTTATGTGGGCTCGCCTCGAGATAAGAAACTGTATTTCAAGATGAAAGGAAAATGGGGCGAGGACGGGGATATACTGAGAGTTTGTGGATCCAGAGGGGGAAGACGGTGGGGGGAGGCAGAGAGGGAGGGACAGGGAGATAAGGGGAGCTGGAGGAGCAGACTGTTTGGATGTTAGTTTTAAGGGTTGTTTATTTGACGTTACATAACACCTTTGCTTATGTAGCAAGAGCTCTTTTACTTGTGTGTGTGCGTTTGACTGTGTGTGTGTGTGTGTGTTAGCTCCTCACAAGGAGATGGGAATTTCTGTGAAAGGCAAAGGTTGCCCATAGCAACAGCCCTCATTGTAAAACTGGGAATACAACACACACACACACACACACACACACACACACACACACACACACACACACACACACACACACACACACACACACACACACACACTATGCATTCTCACCATGCTTGCACTGAAACGTCTTTTCAGTACTTTTCAGACACTTTTCTGGGTTGGAGATCACCAGGCCTTCACACAGAAACTGGCACACTCTTTCACACACACATTAAGCGTGACGCACACACACAATCTCATCCTTCCGCTTTGTGAGAGGCCATATCCTCAGTGTGTCGAGGCTCCAAACAACTATAAGTCAATTTTGTTTTCAGGAGGAACATATAGCGTTTCAACTCCACCTCATGCTGAGATGTGATGGACTGCGGTGCTCGGGTTGCTAGATTCCATTATGCTTTTATTGGCTTTCAAAGGCATCAGGTTTCCTCTGTCTGGAGCCGGGGAGGAGCCTCTGCCTCTGTGTGTGTGTGTGTGTGTGTGTGTGTTTGTGTGTACAATTCGCACCACACAGGCTAGCAAAGCTCTATAGGGCCTGAGGATGGGCTTTAGATTGCTGAGGAGATAAGTTTGTTTTGGCCAAATTTTCAGCAGTGGACCGGCTGTTTTCCGATACCTGGAGCAAAACTCAGCCCTTTGTTCTTAAGAACGCAACATTGAACCACTTAGCATGTACTGAGATGAATCTTGGCAAAAAAAGCAGCATGGAAGAACTTTTCAGCTCTTTTACTTCAATAGAAGTAGCAGCAACACACTGTAAATAACACATTACAAGTTACACAAGTAGGCATTTCACATTTTACAAAACATTTAACCTGATGAGGTATCGAAATAAAAGTACCCATTATGCATAATGGCTCCTTCCAGAGTGTTAGTACTTGATATAAAATATGAATCATTCTTAATAATGTTTTTAAAACATTGTTTTTGTCAGCAGGGGTGGATGATCTAAACCACTTATTCTGTATACTGTTAGGTTATTTAAATCCTTTACTGTACTCAAAGGTTGCATCTTCTGTGTGTAGCATCTTAATCTGTAACATTACCAGAAACTCTAGCTGTCAGATAAATGTATATGAGTGAAATTATGAAGTACAACTGGAAAATATACAAATACAAGTACAGGGACTTCTTAATTGTACGGTACTGAACTTGAGTTAATGTACTTCAATTGGTTAAAATTAACCAGTGACAAAATAAAAGAAGATAAAACATTTAAAATACTGGTAAAAATCATTCAAGATCAGAACAGTTGTTTAAAGAAAGTATCATCTACAGGAAATGTATAAATACTTGAAAGAATGCACATTACAAGTACAGTAACTGATTGAAACATGTCTTGAATCACAGAGGGCTACATGTCTTTGTATCTTTGCCCTGCAGTACGGGCGGTGTCTCTGAAGTGCATGCATTTGAAAGCAGCCTGTGTGATGGTGAGCACTAAAGTGTGTGTTTAAGCATCTCAGGGATGTGGGATTGAGGTCAAGAGGTGAATGAAGAGAGGAGGGATCACACTCAAAGTGACCGGAGGCTGAGGTCACGACTAATCTCTCATACCTGACCCGACAGAGGTCCTGCTTCCCCCTCACATCAACATGAAACCAGCCCGGGTGAAGGTGCGCAGATTAGCAGCGAGGAGGCTGTGTGAGGATCCATGGGAGACTCTATCAGTCAGGAAGAGTCCCGTTTATCAAATGTGCTGTAGATGTTGTTCATAAGAGACACTGATTCTATCCCACACAAAGTTCAAAATAGTACTGAAATTATTAACCAGAAACCATTTTGATCATAGATTTTTTTAGGGCATTTTAGCAGCTGCTCAAACATGAGGTTTTTCTGCTTTTGTACTTGAAATTGTGACATTTTTAGCCACACTATATAGCAAGTTTGATTTATATCCAGAAACCTTACATATCCATCAGGAAGCACCTTGTATTGCAGCCCCTGCCTCTTTATGAATGGGGTGTGAATGGATGAATGATGACTTGTGTAAAAGCAATTTGAGGAGTTGTAAACACTGGACAAAGCGCTATATAAATACAGTCCATTCACCATTTACCGTCAGCCTTACCTTTACGTTATTTGGAGCACAAATTAGCATGAGCTCACAGCAAAGAGTTCACTGTTCTCTTACGGACAATTAATGGATTGTTTACCAAAGAAATAAGGCCATCGTTTTGAATCACGAGTGCCAAATGTGGGATTTGCTGCATTTTCAGTTTGATATCATTGGACACTTAAAATATTTGTGGTTTATGCTGTTTATCGGACAAAATAAGCCGTTTAACAAATTATTTCAGCTTTGGAAATGTGCTACAAGGATTAATTTACTATTTTATAACATTTTATAGTCCAACATTTAATCAATCAAAAAGAATATTGTGAGTAGCAGCTTTAGTTCAAAAGCGAACTGCCTCTCAGTGCTCTGTACTACTTTACAGGCTGAGCATCACTTATAACTGACACGTAGGCAGAGGCTGAATGAAGCCCTTCTCTCCTTAAAGGCTTTGATGTTCCTCTGCCAAAATCCCAGCTTTAGATCGACTCATTAACTATGCTCCTCCATGGAGCCACAGTCAGACAGATGTTAGCCTGTCCACCATAAAGCTGCCTGCAACTCAGCTGTGTGTGTGTGTGTGTGTGCATGTAATCTGACAAAGTGGTTTCTCTATTCAAATGTAATGACAAACATGATGAATAATCTCTGTGTTCTCGGTGTCTCTCACAGGCACAGACTTGGTCGCCCCCTCCCGATGACGACGGCTCGGCGAGAGACGACATCTACGACGATGACGATCTCTACTCAGGCTCCGGCTCTGGCTGTAAGTGTGTGTGTGTGTTTGTGTGTGTGAATGCTACGCACTCACGCCCTGGTTCTTTCAAACTCGACAGCTGCTATGTTTCAATCTGCTGACCCCGAAGACCCCACCCCCCCCTCTGTGTCCTCGAGTTATGGTCACTGGTCGCCAGACTCACACGCATTGAGCCAACGCACACACAACCGCACAATACAAACCATTTGGCCCAAATCACAGTTTTGGTGCAGATTTATTGAACCTTTAAAAAAAAGACACTCCTTTGCAAACAAATGGACAGCCTGAACTCGATTCCCTCAAGTCTTATTTGCGCTAATCAGATTAGAGTCCAAACAGATTAGCAAATTGTGTGCACCTATGTGCGAGCAGGTCAGTGTTTGAGCGAGCTGGCTGTCTGCGTGTTCAGGAATTACCTACTTAACGTAAATCACGTTGGTTTAATTCAGCCTGATTTTTCCATGATCTTGCTATTGAAGCCTGAGCATGGCCCTCCTTATTAAGCATGACTCATTGAGGGCTGCCCTCGGTTCAGACACTGCGCTAGTAGCGAGCGCGCTGAAAATAAATTACAATTCAGAGCAGTAGAGGCACCCCCTGTGTTTGAAACAGCAACCCGGCAAATTGCTTTATCTCAAACTGTGATACAGAGCCGTCTTACTCCAAAGGAAAATCTCATTTAAAACAGACGGATGTGCATTTTGAGTCGCTGCTGCGTTAGAATGTGGCATTTTGAGGTTTCTGATAAGTTTTACAGTAGCTGCATTGTTCAAGTTCATATTTTGATATCCTCTCTAGCTCCTCTGTCAGCCTTCATGTCTTTGTACCTGTAAATTCAATTTGTTTCTCTTTCAACCCAGGGAGCTTCACTGCTATAACAAAATGAAAGGTGGTATAATACTATTATGAGATTCAAGAGGAGAAAGGATCATCGTCTCTTTTCCTTTGTTCCCTTCTCTTCTCTATACGACGTGTCCACACTAAGCCAGCTCAATTTGACAGCCCTGTTTACGCACATCCACTATTTTCAGGTCATTTGCTGCAAAAATCGCTCTATAACGCAGTAGCAAAAAGAAAGCAGTTCTTCTCCTATTCAGTCATTCAACACTTAAAGGTGGGGTGGGTAAGTTTCAGAAACCGGTTCGAGTGCACTAAAATTTGAAAGTACACAGCCGAAAAGAATCCGCCCCTTCCTTCAGACTTCCTTACAGAGCACCTCCTCCAACACACATGAACGCGCACATGACGTCAGCAGACTGGTGAAAGTGGCCGCCTGTTGCTGGCGAGTCATTGAAGTACTGCTGCAATGCACGCCCAATGACGGCACGCCCAATGAGGGCACGAGATACATTTGTGCGTGCACGAGATGGAAGGCTGACAGACAGGGCAGCAATCCAAACTGTAAAAAGCGGCTAAACGGATTGGTCGTGCTTTTTACAGTATTACGGCTTCCACAGATGACATTTGTATGGATTTTTTGTCAAAGCACTTAAGATATTCATTGCTATCGGGATGTTAAGAGCATTCCATGGAATATAACAAAAAGTGTATCTCGAGCCAGTTTCTGAAACTTACCTACCCCACCTTTAAACTACACATCAAAACTGACATCTGGAGAGGAGAGGGACAGACAGCCTGGTCTCAGTTGGTTAAATCTCTGTTCAGCTCGCCATGTTTTAATTCAGCCGAACTCATAATTAACGGTTGTTGTTCTCATATACATATGATTCTGTTTGTGTTGCCAGACAGCTAAATAAGCAGAAAACAGAGATTTGATTGCATCTCTGATTGCTGCGCTGCCGTTGTCAATAAAACCATTACTTTATGACCCCGAAGTCATTTGACAAACAAACAGAGCTCTGCTGTGTGATTGGCTGTATTGACTTTTAATCTGAGTGATCACAAAGACGGGACAGACGGTTATCTTGTTCACGGGGCACTGTTATGATTTTACACATAAAGGTCCCTTAATGGTGTACTGGGCAAGAAGGCTCTTGTGAGAAATGGCAATATTGGTGCGTTATGAGAATGACATGTTGTTCCTGTCAGGGGATAATTTCCATAGATGTTTACTTTTTGCCCTCCGACGCAGATGCCCAGTCTTGGGCAGTATGCTATCTCCCTTAAGGAGGGGCTGCCCTAGCATGTGGTTGTTGTTACCAGTTTGTGACCGGGCAACTCTCAGTCAGAGATAGTTATTGTTATGGGACACCTGGAACACATCCTTCTCGGGTGTAGATGACCCCGAGCCATAAGCGACAACAAATATGATTCAGTGTCCTCAGCTGTTTAGTCTATCTATTGAAGAATGTTTATTATTACACTCTGAACTAGTTAAAACCTCGAGCTACAGGAGGGTTCTTCAGAATTGATTGTGGCATCTCTACCGTGTGGTCAACTCGTGGCCCGTGACATGTCTTGTGAATTCTCCGGCCGAAGCTCCAAATAAACCATCAGTGTTTGCCATCAAAGCTCCAGCTCTCCTCGTGTCTCTCGTGAGTCCTGTTTCCAATTTCTTCAGACGTTTCCCCCACAGTTCCCAGCCTTTTTAGATCTTGACTCATATAAGTGATTAAAAGTCATGATATCCCGGCCCCTGCTCAACAGATTTAGTCCACATTTTATTTTAGCCTGTGCAATGTGAATCCCCCAATATACTAAAATGCTCGACTGCCTCTTAACTTTACAGAGCCCTCAACCAGGCTTACATCATCGCTTTACAAAACCTTGATTTTCCCTTCTCATACTTAAACACAAGGCAGGTGTGTTTGTATTTATTCTCTTCAGAGGGCCAATATGATTTCCATTTTGGAGACAAATAACGACATATGTGTGGATATAAGTCAACAACAGGGGGAAGGAGTAGCATCATGTAGCTTGTTGTATATGTGGCATTCGTCCGTGTAAGGGTAACATCCATAGTTTGATTCCAGGCAGGGATCTTGTCTATCCCCATCTTCCGCACTCAAGTCCTGTGGCAAAAATAGACTATAATCTTAAAAAGAAAAAAGTTGTTTGCATCCAGTTTATTTATGTTGTTAAATCTATGCATAACAAACAAATTGTTTGTGTTCTCAAAAATCCCCACATTAAGAAATGAAAAGGCGGCATCGGTGGCATGTTCATACCTTCTGTTAACACAGTTGAATGCTTCACATTTTATAGATCCCCCCCAAAGATACGGTCGTGCAACACTGCACCTGCTACTGAAGGTGACTTGTAAGTGTCTGAAATCTCAATTTACAGCTCAGCAGAGAGTAAATTATTGAGTGTTTGTATACAGGGAGTAGTAAATGAGCATCTAAGGGATTGATTTCAAACGCAGTCTCGGTTTCTGATTTACTGTGTGTGTGTGTGTGTGTGTGTTGTGTGTGTGTGTGTGTGTGTGTGTGTGTGTGTGTGTGTGTGTGTGTGTGTGTGTGTGTGTGTGTGTGTGTGTGTGTGTGTGCTGTGTGTGGGTGTGTGTGTGTGTGTGTGTGTGTGTGTGTGTGGTGTGTGTGTGTGTGTGTGTGTGTGTGTGTGTGTGTGTGTGTGTGTGTGTGTGTGTGTGTGTGAGAGAGATGTGTGCGTTTTTAATGTGTTGACTCCTCTATTTTTTGATTAAGTCATTATTTAATTCCAAGTCATCTCTTCTCATCTCCAGTTCCTGACATCAGGCTGAGGCCGACGTCGGCGGGCGTGACCTTCACCACAGAGGAGACCCTCCTCCTCTCCACCACCCAGGCAACAGGCCCCGCCCCCTCCGCCTCACCCGCCGCCGAGCCCAGCCCCAACCCGGAGGACCCCATCGCCACCCCACTGCCCACTGAGGCCGAGGGAGAGAGTGGTGCATTCTGGGACAGAGAGAAAGAGCTGGAGAAGGAGAGAGAGTTGGAGACGGAGAGAGAGAAGGAGCAAGAGATGCAGAGGGAACTGGAGAAGGAGAAAGAAAGGGAGAGACAGCTGGAGAGGGAGAGAGAGAGGGAACGAGAGAGGGAGCGGGTCCGAGAGCTGGAGAAGGAGAGGGAGCGCGAGCGAGAGATGGAGCGTGAGAGAGAGCGAGAGAAAGAAAGAGAGAGGCAGATAGAGCGTGAGCTTGAAAGAGAGAGAGAGCTGGAGCGAATCAGAGCCGCCGCCGCCGCCGCCCAGACCACCGCCATCCCCGTGGTTATCACCGAGCTGACAACCATCCCTGCTGAGAGCGCGGCACCCTCTGCAGGCTCGGATGACCTGAGCACCACAGAAGAAGAGGAGGACGTCTACATGTCACCTGAACCCACAGCGTTTTTCCCCGGCTTCGACATGGAGACTACCACAGAGGAAGACGCGTCCACCACTGCAGAGACGACCACAGAGCAGACCACCGCCGCACCCCCTCCCCCCACCACCGCTGCACCCACCACCGTCAGGACCAGGGTGTCCTTCAGGCCCAGGGTTCCCATGACGACAGCAACACAGGCGGCGCCGTCAGAGAGTACGACCCGCTCACAGCAGCCCAAATCTACACAGGTGAGACCATAGGAAACTGACATCTGTCTGCTCTGATGGGTTAGCTGGCAGGCTCTGTTGTGGTTGGTCAACCACTTAGAGATGTCCCGCCCCTTAGCCTATTACGTACAATGTGTTGGAGTGCTAGCCAATAGAAGTCTGACCGTTACATAGTGATGTCATTATGTTACAGAAGAAAACTGTCCAATCGGGAGATTTCAGACGGGGGGCTGCGGTGTGTAGGAGAGAAACACACTCTGGAAGGAACTTTGGGATTTTAGCCTTTGCAGACCGTTGACATGCACAGAAACCTATATAACACAGTACAGGAGAGGGAAAACCACCAAAGCATAATAGGGCCTCTTTAAGTACAGATTGGAGGTACTTTCACTTTACTTGAGTATTCTAATTTTCTGCTAATTTATACGACTGCATTGATAATACTTATTTATTATTCTGTAATAAGCCATTACAATGTGTTAGATTATTACTATTATTATAGAGACTTTAATACTTTTGACTTTCTAAATAACATTTGAATAGCATTTCTACTTGTATAGAGATGTAGATTTCCACAGTGTGGTTACTGAGGTATAATATTTGAATTCTTTTTCCACTACTGTCTGGTACTAATGCACTCATTTTGGTCAGAACCAATAAACTATTTAGGTTTGATACCAAAGCCTTCCTGCGTAACGCTGGCAGCTTAATTATTTACAGACCAGAGTAATTTCTCTGATTGGTGTGCTTATGTTTATTGCAGCCGTTCTGCATTAAAGCATGATGCATTGAGATTTGTTTGGTTTTCAACATTGTAATTAAGCTGCCAGATTTATGAAGTGCGTATAAGCATTGGACAATATACCACTTTCCGCCAAACAGACATACAGAGGCTCATTGTTTCAGAGTCCAACGTGTGCCATGGAAAGTTCTCCATTTGTGTCGGTTTGGATATGTTCCTGCTCCGTGGAACAAATGTGATTACATCAAATGTAAATTTCCTGTCGTCAGTCTCACTTTTCTTCCTCTGTGCCCCAGGAGACTAACAACGAGGCGGGTGCTGCAGGAACCAGTGGAGACTTTGAGATCCCTGATGATCGTCGTAATGATCTGGGTCGAGGTTTGTTTCCAGTGGATGCTGATCTGAACGGGAACACGGTGGACGGAGGAAGCTCTGCCGCCCAGCTGCCTCAGAAGAACATCCTGGAGAGAAAAGAGGTCTTGATAGGTAGGAGCTTCTGATCCTCTTGGTAGCCACCTCTTAGATCAACAGATCACATTTCCCTGTTGCCTCCCGTATGTTTCCTCTGCCTTCTGGGAGCCGCTAAGATAAACTGGCATTAGCTCACGTTCAAGTAGTATAGATTCATCCCGATGAGTGAATGTGCTACTTAGCCCTGTTTGACCCGTTGAGAACAAGCAATCCCCTTCTTGGGTTATCCAACCCCTCCTCTCTCCCCTCTTTTTCCCATCATTTTGCTTCTGGGTAAAACCAATTCCTTTTCAAGTGCCCCCTCTCCTCATCCCAAAGAGCTGTTGTAGAAAGTGAGGCAGCGGCCAACTTGCCTGACCTGACTGGCTCTCTGTCTTTCCTTCAGCTCTTCTGATTGGTGGATTGATGGCGGTGGTTTTCGCTGATTTCCTGGTCATCGGTAAAGAACAGGAGGCATCAGACTTTAGACTAGACTGTCTTTATGAAATACATTTGTACATGTCTGACTCATACATATGCATGTAGAGTGCTGGACATGTATCAACACTGTATTCCCTTTCACTTAAAAGAACATAATGTATATACACAGTGATGTGCAGGTATTTCACAATCTTTGACTTTTCACACACGGCTTTAGGACACTTGTCTTTTAGTTATGACAGAGTTTATCTCTACTTTAAGGGGAAATAGCAATTCTGCAATAGCTTTAAGTTTTGATAAATTAAATAACATTCAGGATAATATTTTTGCCCAAACCAAATATTTGTGATTAAATTAATCCTTGTGTCTTTCCTCTTTAAAGATTTGTATTGAAAACTATTGCAATTATGCCTTTCACTCGGCCTAAATCTATATGTTTCACAGAACTGTGGCAGAGCGTCAACATTTTCCCATAGCGATGGCTCCAGTCTTTCTAATGTCTTTCTATTTAATTGAAATGTCATTAGGTCATGAGAAAAGGGTAAAGGGGAACTCATTAGGACGTACTGTAGGAAAGGAATCTTACATTAGGCTTCATGATTATAAAGCGATGGCAGATTATTGACGTGGCTCTCTAAATGATGATGCTGCTGCTGCTGCAAGGAACTGTGAGACAACATAATTGCTTTTCCTTTTGTAGGGATTGTCATGTAGAAGAAAGGAAGCATTGCACCATATTTCTTAGCGTTTACAGAATTTGACCAGCTGCCACGTTCTCTTCTCTTTACTTCTCTGTAATTTCACTAAAGTAGTAACTTTCAAAAGCAAAAAGTCTACCCGCACTCAATTGGGCTCTCTTTGTGGGGTTTGCATGTTCTTCCCATGTTAGCGTGAGTTCTCTCTGCGCCCTCCAGCTCCCTCCCACAGTCTAATAACATGCAGGTTAGTTTAGTCGTTGACCCTGGATCGCCCGTAGGTGTAAATCGTTCTCTCTTTGTGTCAGCCCTGTGATTGCATGGCGACCGATCCAAGGTGCACCCTGCCCCTCGCCCAATGTCAACTTAGAGAATAAGCGTTGGTGCACTTGAAACGTTGCAATTAAAATGTCTAAACGAACAATTAAAATGTCCACTAACAATTGTCTTCCTAAATATTTATGCACCATAAAACTTAAACCTGATCTTAAAATATAATTAGATTTAACTACGAGTGTGTGAAACGTCAAGAGTGGTGAATACTTTTACAGTCACAAAGCAGTGGTGAGACGTGATGTTATCTTAAATACCCCAGCCTTTGTACTCTGATATTAGCAATAATGGAATAAACAAAGACAACACCTCCCACACAATGAACGGGAACAAAGCATTCAACACCAGTTTGGAGAATGTTCTCCATTTTGGCATCAATACCAATTAGTTTAACGAGGGAACGCTTTTTTTTTCTCATTTGATAACCACACATGAATTTATCACACGCAGCAAGAGGTCATTAGCGATGTGCGCAGAGGAAGCTGGTTAACTGCAGCTGCTGCGATTGGTTACACAGGCCCGTCGGGAAACAAACTACTATGTAGCACTGCAGGGCTGTAATTTAGCACAAAGCTGTTGGCAGCCCAGGACGTATGTTGGCACATTCAGGATCATCAGTCTTCACTTAGCGGCTAGGTGATCGTGATGCTGTGGTCGCTCTGCTTTCAGACTAGGAGTGTTTGATGCAGTCTGTAGGGATGTAGTCTGCTGCAGGATGTAGCAGTGCCTCTAATGGCATTTCTGTGTTTTTTTCTGTGTTTTTCTGTGTTGTAGGATTTGTGATGTTCTGGAAAGGTTTTCTAAGATTTGCAACCCTCTCTTTCTCTTTCTCTCCAGCGGTGATAGTGGGAGGAGTAGTGGGCGCCTTGTTTGCCGCTTTCCTGGTGATGCTGCTGGTGTACAGGATGAAGAAGAAGGACGAGGGCAGCTACACGCTGGAGGAGCCCAAACAAGCCACCGTCACCTACCAGAAACCAGACAAGCAGGAGGAGTTTTACGCATAACACTCGTACGGCAGAGAGACAAACCGCACACGGAGGGAGAGAGAAAGAGCGAGAGAGAGAGAGAAGAGGGAAAGATACTCTAAGCCCCCGTCCTCCTCTTCGTCGCCTCCCCCTCATCCCTCTCTCCTCTCGTGTCCGAAACACTTGAGAGCTCCTCTCTCTCTCTCTGCGGACTCAGAACTTTCTTTTCAATGAAAATGAAAAAGAGGAAAAAAAAAAAAAAATCCAAATATATTCTGAAAAAATAACACACATACACACAAGATGTTTTTAAAGTAAATGTTGTTATTAATATTCTACAGATTCTCTTGTTCTGTGTGTAATGATATGATTATTTTGTAAGAAAAACAAAGAAAACAAAACACAAGCTCTTATCCTGTGTTTTCCAGCACAAAAAAATCTTCCTCCTCAGTTTTTATGGAGCAAATTAAAAAGCTTGAAAGAAAGAGGAGAGGGGCGAGTTGAGCGAGACACAAAAGAAAAAGACGAGTGATGGCCTCGACTCTGTCCCTCGCCCACGAAAAACACACAGAGCATCTGGTTGGCCGCATAGAGCCCAGGGTCAAAGGTCAGAGGAAAGGTCTCTTTTGTGCCTTCCATCCCTCTAGTGCTCAAAGACGCAAACACATCCATACAGCCACATAAACACACGGTTACGGTTACACACACACACACACACACACACACACACACACACACACACACACACACACACACACACACACACACACACACACACACACACACACACACACACACACACACACACACGTGTATCTGCTCGATTGGTGGTTCTGACCTCTCTCTGTGCTCGGCCAACCAGAAAACAATGCTCAACCCTCGGTGTGTGTCACAACGTCGAGGAGCCGCTGTGGAAACTTTGGCTGGTCGCATAGAGGCCGATCTGCTCCTCTAAGCTGTACAAAGACTAGTTACGGATAGTAATAATAACCAATAATATATCAATGTTTTGGGCTGGACGGTGACAAATAATAATAATAATGATAATAATAATACCATTATAATAATAATAATACCAAAACAGGAGGATGTGTATTTAGCAATTAAAAAAAAAGTTTATATGTAAATATCAGCGTATCCTTTCTGGCAACACTAACCATCTGCATGATCATGAAGAGTTTTTATTCATCACATCCTTCATCACTTTAGATGAGCTGTGCTCTCGTCAGCCACACACACACACACACACACACACACACACACACACACACACACACACACACACACACACACACACACACACACACACACACACACACACACAACTTGCTGTGCATTTAATTACACCACACAGACTTTTTAAGTATACTTTTCATCATATTCTAACGCTTAATCAAACCCATCGTCATCACTTGTGAAACGAGCGAGATCAGGTGGTTTCAATATGTTATTGATTCGTTATCAGTTGCAGGTTGGTTTAAAGTTTGCTCGGTTTGTGTCAAAGCACAACTACATGTCCAGTCATCACCTCATCTGATATCTCCCCCCCCCCCCCCCCCATCACTCCCAGACGCACCTTTTGCGTGGCTCACTTTCTTTTTCTTCCATCATTGGCTCTCTGTTTGGGGATGGGTGGGGCCTCTGGGAAACGAGAGGGGCTTTAATGAGAAACCGAAAGTGTGAATCCGCACAGGAAGTTGCTCCATACATGCACTAATTCATTCAAATCATAACTTCTGTCATTAAAGCTTTGGTTATGAGGAGGAACTCTGAATCGGTGTTGATGGGGTCAACTTTAACCTGTTGTGGACTCGTTTTGGGGAGGGGAAAACAGGGGGGAAGGGGTTTGGTTTGGGGAATGTGAGGAAGAGACAGGAGGGCTGTGCTTCTATCTAAGAGATTGTAACAATAACCACACCAGTGCGACTGGGCTAGTAGCTTCTATTATACTCAGTACTGTAGAACAAAAATGCATGGGAGTCAAAACTAAACTAGTCTGGGTGTGTGTGTGTGTGTATGTATGCTTGTGTGTGTGTTTCTGTGTGTTTGAAAGGAAAAGAGAGGTGAATTAAAGTTGGAATGTACTGTGGCCGAGTGTGTGTTTACCTACTCCAGCAGTTCTCACGCTCTTCCACAGACAGGTAACACACCTCCACCACTCCTGTGTGTGTGTGGTGTGTGTGTGTGTGTATGTCGCCTGCCCCCTCGCCAGCGTGAGTGTGTGTGTGTGTGTGTGTCTTCACCTCATCTATACCACCCGTGTGTATGTCTGTGAGTGCTTCACCTTGGTATTTCACAGCAGACTCTTGTGTACACTGACTAGCCTGTCGACGTGTTTGTGTGTCTGCGAGTGTTCCTGTTCACTGCTGAACGAGGGGCAGCTGGTCCCTCACAGCGGCTTTCACACACACTGACTGTGTCTTTTCACTGTCTGTCTGTCTGTCTGCCTGCCTGTCTCCCTGCAGCAGACGGACAGACAACACGCCACTTTCTCACAGGCAGGAATGATCTTAATACGTACTATCTTTTATAAAGTGACTGTCAGCGTAAACAAAAAGTGAGTGTTTGTACCCATCTAAGCCTGCGTAGCCAAATAAGACGTGTGTGTGCGTGAGTGAGAAAGAGAGGGTTAATTTGTACGTGTGTGAGTGTAGGTATGAATGTGTATGGATGTAAGTGTGTGTGAAGCCCAACGGAGGCTACACTACTCTATGTTTGCTGTTCCCATTCCTGTTTTTATACATTTGCATTTTTTTAAGGCTGAGTTTCTGTCATTGGCTGAGTGAGCGAGAGGAGGCGGATCCTCCACTCACCGCCCTGTCACTAATCTGCCACTCTGTTCCAAATAAAAAACCTGGTTGGGTAAATCTGTCCTCTCGTCTTTTTTGTGTTTTATTAAAGTGGATAAATCAATGCACCTGTGATTTTTCATTCTGCTGTTTGTGTCTAGTCAGCTTTAAATAATACATGAGGTAGGTAGACTTATCCTCCCTTTTCCAGCCGTTATGCTAAGCTAACAGATTGCTCACTGTAGCTGGTATCAATCTTCTGATCTCACTAAGTTATTTTTTTTACTTTGAAGTACAGTGCACATACCAGACAACCAGAGAGAACCTTGAAACCAACCTGTACCTGTCCTGAAAAAAATAAAACATGGTTCAAGATTGATTGGAAGTCAATTTGCATAATTTAATAATCATAATTCTACCAATTAGGTTCTGCAGACACTTAAGGTATACTGATTGTTGTATTCAGTTGTCAGGTGCTTTATTTTATTAACCCAATTAATCATAACTGTCAATCATTTTGTTCCTAGTGACTTCATATCATTGTCTGTTTTTGTTTTAAATAGTGCTTTTACATTTAAATAACCCCTTTCAAGGCACTCAATTCCACCCATGCAGTTTTATTAGATAAAACGAGTTATTACATTTAAAGTACAAACTATTTGGGGGGATGGGGGTCACTGTGCAGCAGCAGACACATATCCTCATTTGTAAATTATATGTAACCTTTCATTAAAAAATATATATAAAATATTTCCAGATCACATTAATTTCATTTCTAATTAGTTAGACTTTTGCTATGAAGGCTGTTTTTTTAAGGAACTTATTCTCTGTAGTCGGTATTAGTCTGGTTAATAAATATCTATGCGTAGTAAATGAGATCAATATAAATGGAAATTATATTGATTTGACATTTGTTTTTGGCTAATAGATACGGAAACAATACCAGACCCACTTTACTTGATTGTATGCTAATTTCCTAACAAATGCACCATTAATTAAAGTACCAAAACCAATTAACATGCAGTGAACCTGGGAGTTTTTGAGGCTCTAGGGGTCAAAGTAATCCATCGTTGTTCATTAATATAATTACGACCTGTCAATGGTGTACCAACCTCACTCAATGTCAGCTGGGACAGGCTGTGGCCTCCTGCGACTTTGCTGGGTGAATGTATTAAAGGACTTTATATAACGCAATACATAATAAATCACAAGAATAGTATGCTTTAGGAAGCCCTCGCTATTCATACTGTGACAAAAAGCAATTCTATGAAATCATAAAGATTGTGGCTATGGTTGAGAACAATATTGTAATAATGCCTTGTTTGCATTTGTATTACCTCTAAATGCACCTGATTTGTTGGGTAGCTTCCAGAAGAGCTGCTAAAGTAAGCTTTACTTGGAGGTTTCTACACAACTAATCCAGATTCAACTGGAGTAATGTTCAATTAAATTCTCATTATCATTATTCATTAGTACTTCCCACATCCACTAAATAAAGCTGCAGTTTGTCAAATGTCTAACTTGATTAACATGACTTCCCAAATTGTAAATAAACACCTTTTTCTTTTATAAAACCATTGTATGTAATCTTTCATAAATATGTGCCTATTATCTGTCTCTGATATTTCTGCTTCCACTTTAATGCATTTTGTGGTGCTCACATCAAGTATCATTGTTCAGAAACAGCAACACATCTATTCCTAATTCCCAATCCTCTTCTCTAATCCAGAGAACAGAAAGTATCAACATTACAATTTCTCTAACTGCAGTTTGTGTGAAAAATGTTCTCAGTGTGGTTTGGATTAAAGAACGAAGCAACCAGGGCATTGTTACTGGAAAGACACACTACTGTTGAATTATTTAAAAGTGCATTTCCAATGCTGTGAGCATTACAAATGAAATTCCATTTGTCTCGATTTGCTGGGCTGGAGGAATAAATCTCAAAGACAGATATCTCAAGATTTTGGGAAAAACAATTGTGAGTGAAAAACATTTTGTAATTTGGGTGAGCTGAACCTTTTCTTTTGGTCTTGGCTGTGACTAAACCCCCCCTGGTGCTGGATTGAACTTGAGGCCGAGGATTTGCTCGTCACTCAGGACTCAGCAGTGGCTGCTCTGAATGAGAATATATTTTAGTAACACACATTCAAGAGAACTCACATGCAGACACAAAGTCTCCCTCTGGTGTTCTCACACACCAGCATTAGCCTGGCCTTCATACAATTTCTGACCTCGTAACTTTACACGCAACCCATATGACTCAACGCTACATCTGACCGAATTCTGTATATATTTATATGTGTGATGGCAGCCTCTTAACAAGCTATTTACACTTGCTGAACTCTGTGAACTGTCATGGGAGAAACACCCAGAGATGTTGCTAATGTAAGTCATTGCATACAAATGTACTTATGAAATGATTAAATAAACTGTCCTGGGTAATTTGCAAGCACGCAGGAAAGGAAATTAATCTAAATGGGCTTTCAGTTTAAATTCTTTGCATCAAACCAGATGAAACCAAGGTCACCTGATGTGGAGGAGGGAGTGCGCAGATGGCCTTTCCCTGGATCCAGAGGAGACAACAAGCTGTCCTGGCCTTGGCTATGGTGGGCTGCTTATATGGAAATGTGCCTTTCACAGAGCATGAGGGGGGTTTTATGGGATCCCTTCTCTGTTTGGGAGGAGTAGAGCACAGGAGGCTGAACAGGGGAGTTGGGGTAGTAAGAGCCTGGGGTCCAGGCAGTACCCCATCTGGTGGGTAATAGTGGAACAACTGAAACTAGGAAACTTGATTTAAACTGATTTTATCCTGATTTTAACCAGATTTGATCCCAGCATCTTTAACTGACATGCAAATGTTTGATTGGCATCCTTCCAATATAATAATAGAAAGTGATATGATATATGAGCACTTTATTTTACAAAGACCTTGGGCCACTTTAAGCCTTTGTGAAATAAATTAAAATTACCAGCATTTTGAAACTTTAGTTGAACTGTTCTATACTCATAGACATCTGAAATTATAAAAAACTAATTTTTAGTAACGCCAACAAAGGCAACAAATGGCAAAATGTCCCTTTCAAAAGTTATAATGTACAGGTATAAGGAAGCATAACATGGAAATGCTTCCATTTGTAAATGCAATACTTGAGTAAACATACCTAGTTGGTCCCAATGATTGTGATACAAATATAATATTCCTTAAATCAACACACTGTAAGCCTATACATTAGGTAGAATACATACATATATTTTGTTTACAACTAACACACCAAGGGAAAGAGAATTAGCTAAGAAAGATATTAACCTTTTAAAGCTTGGAAGTGTTTAATGTTTTAAGAGTTTTTGTTGCTTTGCCAACATTAAACTCAAGATAAAATGTAGGCACCTTGTTTAACATATAAATCAACTCAGTAAACTTGTTAATGTTGATTCATAGACAACAATATATTGTTTTAGGAAACCAGCCCATTTATATTCACTGAATGAGATCAATAAAGTTTTCTTAGATTATGTCACTTAAGGGTACACCTGATCGCGTGTGTTACCGGTCCTGGTTACTGATTGGCTGGATAAGTTTCACCTTCACGCGATACTTCTCCATCACACTGCTGAATGTAATCAATCAATCAACCGTATTAGCCTGCAGTGCTGGAGCAATTCACATCGTAACCCTGCTTAATTGATTATTAGTTTAGACTTCAACATGGAGGAACACTGTGATTTAGCGGAAGATTTTGGTAAGGACGACTAGGATGACATTTAATTGTTTTATTGGTTTATTGGTTTATTGGTTCGCTTTTCACTCGTCGACCATTTCCTAGCTCAACTTTTGTGTCATTTTGTAAACTTTGAAAGACTTTGCGGGTGTATTTAAAGCTCTTTATCTTACCTGTGAGGCTCAGCTTCCAGAGCTGCACAGCTCCACAGAGACACTTTAAGATTTTAAAACTCAGCTATTAACCTTCGCGACCCGGTGTTTGTACATGGGGTTAGCTAGTTCAGCTGCAGCTAGCTGTTCAGAGTTAATTAGCGGTCTGGTGAGGTGACACGAGACGCTGCACACCTGGGACACTAATTAAGTCACTGCAGCTCCTCGCGGGATGACGTTTATCAGGGTTTTTTTCAACCTGCAGGCCTCATGACTCATGAAATAGGAAAGTAAGAGCTCCAACCATTTCAAGTTAGTTCTTACTCTGTGCAGGCAAACTAGGAAACTAGGATTGGCTATATCACACAGTAGTATTCATGTGTTAATAAGCCCACTTTTCAAATAAATTCAGTCAATGAAAGTTGGAAACATTTTCTAACAAATCTAAGTTGATAAGAAAAAAGACCAATAACTTATTTACATAACAAGCTTGACGTATAGGCCTACGCTTCCTGTTTCCCCTTATTATAACCAATCTGAGGCTTCTGTTTTAAGGAATGAGCTAACCACTTTTTGTAATAATGTAAATGGAGAGCATAATTTACCTACATTTGATTGATTTTGCTAACTTATAATTGAATTTATGAGGCAATCTACCTCACTGAGTGGCCCAGCCCTTTGTATATTTTGCTGTAGGCTATGTGGTCCTCGGTGAAAACAGTTTGGACCCCTGCTGTAGAGACTATGACCATTTTTTTACAATATAATATAATAATTTTAATTAAATATTATTTTGAGATTAAATAATAATAAACTCTAGGAGCCTATTAGCTTACATAAAGTAGTACACAAATAATATATAGGCCTACTTATATGTTATCTTACATTTTCTTTTTTTCAAACTTTAGATAAACAGTAAGTAAATGAATGAGCCCATATCTCCTGTAACACATGACACCAAATGATTCTTTTAAAAATCTTTTTTGTATATATCTTTAAAGCATATGCCCGAAAATAATTTGTTTCAAATTCTTAAACGTGAATTGGCTGGACTTTTTAGTATTCTGTGATGGTAAACTTAACATTTTTCTTTGATTGGAATAAAAGTCCAAATAAAAAAATCCTAACTATGATTGATGCAATCAGCCAATCATTTACCAACTATATATTCACCCTAAAGCTGCCACAAATATAGAAGACAGGACCTCAGGGACAGCCAAGGTCCTGGATGAGAATACCACTGTGTCAGATGGCCCGTAACAAAATGCATTTCATATCATTTCATATTTTAAAGAAAGCAACACATGTCAACAGGGACTCAGTGTGAGCTGGCGTGTGCCTGGAGAGCCATAATAGGATAAGGTTTGAAACCACAAATCTTATCACAAGTTTATACAATTTGTTAAGTATTAAATAAATTGCCTATTGGAAGAACTCAATATCCTTCACATGAAGATTAAGATGCAAACAAATAAGCTGGAAACATGTTTAAAAAAGCCTAAAGACAATACTACTACCACTACGTGATATTAATAATAGACGTTTACAACAAGCACAGACGAAAACACATATACAGATCATAGAGAAGGCAACAGAAAAAAACATCTTTTGAGAATGCTTTTAAAAGTAATTGGAGTCTTCAGGGAGTCTATTCCAGTAAGTGGGATATAAACACAGACAGTCTTACTGAGTCTCGATAAAGCAACAATATGAGACACAGATGAGTGGTTCATATTATTTAAGCTTTCTCAACTTATGGTGAAGCAAGGCCAAGTAGGTCAAGAAAGTAGTTTAGAGTACGAGAAACTGATTTGGTGGTTCGAGGTGTAATGAGTTTTCTTTTACTACTCCATCTTAGAGATCTGGCTCCAGCAGTAGTTTTAGGATTATGTAGAGGTTTCTCCAGTTCGTGTTTTGATTAAAGCTGTTTTAAAAAAATACTGTTTGTTATTTGCTGAAATACTTATCTTGAAATAAATCAATAAGTGAAATGCTTTGAGATAGAAAAGAAAATCTGGTGGCTGTCGCCGGACTGTAATCAATCGTTCCATTGTGTCTTTTGAATTAAATTCAATGATTCCACTGCCGACCTTACTGTTTACCTGCTCGCAAATTCTACATGTATTGTGTTCTTGCCCAAGCTACTAACTTAATTGCTCAGAACAAAATGCGTGATTGTTGGTTAGACTTTAGTGATACATTTAGAGGAGTGTCTTTAGAGGGTGGACTGAGGGACGAGCTGACTCAGTAGATTTAGATCTCGGTACTTTCATTGCAAAAGGGTTTCGCCACATTTGGCTGGATATTTGTGTTGCATAATTTTGAATATCTTGCTTACTCTGCTTGCTGACTGCCTCACGTTACTTATCCAGGCTTTAGTGTCCAGGCTTTACAGACTTTGGACAAAAGTAAAACAAAAAAAAACCTCTCCCTCACCCTTTTGCAGACTGTCCGAACCTTCTGTGCGAGGAGCTGGAGGATTTGGAAACAAAGAACCACCAAGGGAGAAGGAGGAGGAGGGAAGGAGAGGAGAGGGTGTTTAATCAGACGGAGGATGACGAGGCAGGAGAGGAGACAGGCCGAGAACACGAGGAGGGGGAGGAAGAGAGAAAAAGGAAAGATGTTGATTTAGAAAATGAACTGATGGCGACAGAAGAAGAGGAGCAGGTGAGGCCAGAGAGCAGGCTGGGAGCGGAGGAGGAGCAGATGGAAGACGACAAGATTGAGAACAACAAGGAAACAATCGCCGACAAGCAAGAGGCCAAAGAAACGAAAAGTCTAGAAGAGAAAAATGAGAAGAAAAAGGGTAGGAAGAGGTGCGGTAGGAAGCTAAGTGAGCGAGTGAGAAACAGGAGAGGTTATAAAGATGTCAGCGAGCGCTATGAGGAGGAGAGTCGGATCCAGGAGGCGTCAGCGATGAGTTCAGAGGAGAGCTCTGCTCCGGCCGAGCCTCCCATCGGTCTGATGAACAGCTGCGACCTGTCTGACCCCGCCTTCCTGGGCTGTGGGGGGGCCGGCCTGTACTGCCCTCCTCCTGCTCCTCTCCCCCTGCTGTACTCCTCACAGCCTCCTGTCCCCATCCAACCTGCACCTCCTCTACCTCACGGGACAAAAAGACCCTGCAGCCCTTCTGTACTTTACAGTCACTCCCTGCAGGGCCCACAGCCTCACGAGGTGAGACTACACCGTCACTGTTTATCAATCACTGCAGGAAATGTGAACGTGTACAGTACGCTGAACAACATTTGATTCCCTGAATTCCCAAACACCGTTCCCCCTCAGGGTTTCCGCTAACACTCATTCTCATTGATTCATCCGCAGATTAAAACATTTAGCTTCATCAAGTCATCGTTTCCCTATAAAATAGAGAACTATTGTTTTTCTCAAAATCCAAGCTGATGTCTTCAAATATCTGAAAGTGTTCAGTTTACTTGTACGACAGAGAAATGCAGGACATCTCCAGATTTGAGAGGCTAAAACTGTCATTTCTGACATGTTTGCATGTGAAATGACTCAATTGATCAATGATTATTAAAATAGATGGCAATCATTTTTCTGTCAATTGACTAAAAGTTGCACCTACAGTATAACCAAAATGATCTCCACTTAAGATAGTTCTCCACTGATTCATCGTGCACTCGTATAACATTGACCGAGGAGTTCGATTTTTTTTCCTGAAGCAGTAAAACCAGAGAGATTGTCTTTCTTTTACCACATATTCAAAACCTGGTGCCTTTATTACCAATTATGCAACATGGCCGCTGCCAGTTAGTTCAGACTCGGGTGTTTATTGAACACTGTGAGGTGCTTAATTGGTGAGCTCTCCTTAGGCTTTACGACTGGATACATCTTATCAGAGACTGTCACACTATATACTGTATTCTACCCTCTTTAGATGCAATATATAATCAATTACAATTAAATGCAACAGCTCTGCCATGAATTCTACCTTTTACAAAGTTAATAATGTTGAGTTTTTATGACCTTGTGCAGTCAAGTAAAATAACACCGCTAACTATGACTTCAGGAATTAAACATATCATTAAATTAACATCTCTATAAAAATACAACATTATGGGTATAATAAAGGTAGACTGTCAGAACAGTTGCATTGGATCACATAAGACGGTTTTACTGAGTGAATTTGCATCACCTTGTAGTAGTACAAGCTCTTCATTGAATCTTTAGGGTGGTTATATAATATTTATTAATTTATGTTTTTCCATGTCTTCATTTTAGACATCTTTCCCCAAATGTAGCCTGACACTTTTCAGATCTTTGCAAACTGTGGTTTGTTTGCAGGACTTTAAATACACTACCTGTGGTTTGAGTATTGCTTGGCGGCGCATGCGGTTATAACCCCCCCTGCAGCCCAACAGTCACATTTGCATGTTCTAGTGAAGATCTCCAAGTGTCTAATAATAACTCTTGTCATGTATAATTACGGTGTAATATGTGTGAAATGATGCACACCAACAACCTTCTGCAATATTAATGATGCAGCTGTGGAAATAACATCCTGGGCTTTAATATTTGGCTCGGTGTGCGGTGTGGTGTGATATCAGTAGGCGAAAGAGCTTAATTGAAGAATTGTGACAAGCAAATGGAGAATTTGATGATGTCAAACTGTGTCAAATCATTTCATCTCACGGTGAAAATATGTATCACATTTGATCGTCTTTTGCCAGTTGCACCTACACCATGAAGTAATCTGTAGCTTGAAGAATAGCTCTGCTCAAAACCCAGAAGTATGCATTATTATTATTATTATTAATATTAATAAATAAAGAATGAAAATATGTAGCGCAATAGCAAGATGTTGAATGTTCCTAATATATGGCCAGAACTGCACTCAAAATTAACCAGGAACACAAACTTCAATCTTAAAATCAAAGCACTTAACCTTTTTCTATATGATCTGGCATTTAATAGAATACACAAATAATCAATTCAGAACAAAATGGCAGATTCATTAATAAATTCAACAAATCATACATTTTGTTGCTTTCTGGGGGCTGAAAAGTTCCACAGTGCACTTCCTGGTGAACCTCAACTTATTTTTGGCAGACAAACTTCCCTGTTGGCTTTTGTGACGGAGAAGAGATGATGTCGATGTTTTTCTTATTGATGACAGATGGAGATAAACCGGGTCTACTCCACCCGACACTCCATCCGCTACAGCAGCAGGGGTCGAGGACTCAGCCTACCTCTGTTGCCGGGGGTAGAGGTCGTTGACAACGGCCTGCTTCCACCTCCTCCCAAGAAGAAAACCAGAACTCTCTACAGTACCGGTAACCAAACTGTCTTTCTGTCCAGGTGTGTTCAGATTTGGTTATGCAAACACTTCATTTTGTGTGTGTGTGTGTGTGTGTAGATCAGTTAGATCATTTAGAAGCCTTGTTCCAGGAGGACCACTATCCCGACGCAGAGAAGAGGAAAGTCATCGCCGCCTCAGTTGGTGTCACGCCTCAAAGAATTATGGTTAGAAGTTTTCCTGACTCTTTTACATTTCTTATTTGGTGATTTACCTCCTCTAAGAGAGAATCATTGTCGAACTAGGAATTAAGTTAGGTGCACCTCTTTTGGTCGAAACCTAAGTTCTTGGTGTCAATCAACAAAAAAACGTGTGCCTTCCCTTTTATTTGCCCTTAAATGAGTTCTCCAATAATTGAGGATTCAGGGAAAAGTTTCCCTTCCTGCCTCAAAAGCGACTGCCTTCTTTCACCTCCCATCTTTCCTTGTCTCATCACCATCTTTCCTTGTCTCATCACCATCTTTCCTTGTCTCATCACCATCCTCAGACATTTTTACTGATCAATGTTATTGTCTTGTCTGCATGATGCTGTGAACCAGGTCTGGTTTCAGAACCGCAGGGCTAAGTGGAGGAAAGTGGAGCGCTCCATCACAGCGAGGGGTGAACACAGACAGAGCCGAGCTGGCAGCAGCAGCAGCCCCCTGCATCACCCAATCAATCCCAGCCTGGCACCCAACAGGTACTACACTATATCGCTCTGTGTTGGTAGTTTTTCTTGTTCTCAAATGGTCCAAGCTACTTTTGATTAGTCGTTATTTTATTTATGATTGATTGTAACTTATGTTTATTCTCTTTTCAGTAAGGGAGTTCCCTGTTTTTCAAATCACTTTGCCACAAAGCTGCCCCAGCTCGCCCCTGCAGCGCCTTCTTTCTCCGCCATCTCCAACCAGACTCCGCCCTCCTACAGCAACCTGATGGCCAGCCTCAACAGCCCAGGTGCTGTAACCCTCATTCACAATGAATCAAAAGCACCGCTCATGATTAGGTCCCAGTGCTCCACAAATACTACTTAAGAGAAGAGGCCCCACTGTGCTTTTTGTGTTTTCCCTTTTCCTGTAGTGTGTTATATATGTTTTTGTGCATGTAAATGGTCCGCAAAGGCTAAAATCCCAAAGTTCACACCAGAGGGAGTTTCTCTCCCACCTAAACAACAAAATACTATACTAACATGTAAAAATAGAATGCTACATACATTATACATGTGTACAAGCTGCTGCAGTTCTTGAGTGACATTTTAAATGCAATGAGGTAGAGATCAACATTACACAAAGTACAGAACAAAAGCCTCAGAGTTCTTGGAGTGTGCAGACAAGGCAAGGTCAAATGTCCATTCTCCCACAAAAAGAGTGTATATTGGACATTCAGAACACTAATATAGCAGCTAACAACTATTTGCCATGTTAAGATATTGTGGCGTAATGGTGCTCTGAGTAAACACACAGAGGTAACAATGCAATCAAGGAACTAGTGGGGACGTAGCCAGTTTCCTACGTCTTGGCCCAAAAGCCGACTTGAACACCCATAACAAACTAACCAGTGGAACACTAGCACTTACAATGCACTACATTTAAACTCGGTGAGGCTTCCCCCTGCATGTGGAGATAGTACAATTCCCCAGAAACCAAACTACAATGTCTCTTTAATCTCAGTGTTTAATCTCTCTGTGTCATCTCCAAGGTCAATCCAGAGGGAGAGATGTGGGCCAGCACCAGCTTTTATCTCAGGGGGGGTTGGCAGAGTATCACCCCCGTCCCATGCACAGCCCCCCCCCTCTGCGGAGAGCCAGTCTACCCCTTTTCACAACGACCTACAACGCTGCCAACCCAGCTCCACCTCTCCTTAACACCCTGGCTCACAACCAACCTCTGTTCCTCGATGCTCTGGAGAGCGGCTCCTCCCAGGCTCTGCAGACTGACACCAGGTCAGCTCGGTTCGCAGCAGACTGTGACATGAATACTAGACGATGATTTGAACAGGGATGAGTAGTACAGAGGACAGGCTGCAGACAGGAGCAGGGATCCTGTGAATTACTGATATATAATGATGCTGCAGACAGCGCCTGTAGAGGGGAGTCGATTTCAGCTTGCTCTCTGAAATATTTGAGAAATCCTGCTGGGAGAAATAACGGTTAGGAATTGCTCTGTAGAAAATTACATGTCTTTGACTACTACTATTTATCACAGCTCTTAAATAAATTCCCTAATGCTAGGCAATATAAAACTAAATATTAGCAATGAATTTTTATTTTTTTTATAACTCTTCTCCAAATGGCTGGTTGTTTTCTGCCTTATTTGCATATACTCTTATTTGTTTTGGGAGTACAGATTAAGTGTTTTTTTTTTTTTTTTAACGATACCTGTGTTTTTAAAACAATGCTACCTACCCTTATTTCCCCCTTGTAGTGTCGCTGGATGCCTTTTCATTCTCTGTAGCTCAGCGGGCGGTGGTGGGCTGTGACGGCAGGTTCCATTCACACTGAATTGCAGATTATCGCTGTCTCTGCTTTTGAGTCAGATGTGTGAACCATAAGACATATTCTCCTGTTGTGTTTAAAAGGGTGCTGTCATGACAGCTAGCTGATTTGAGTGACAAAATAATCATGACATTTGCAAAGGTTCCCAAAGTCTTTTATTGGGCCCTTTCTACACTTTGGGTGAGATCGATATAAAGACATATGGAAGTATCTGAGCATATCATATATATAACGTCCCTGCAGTTACACATTGTATATATTTGAAGATGTTGTTTTGACTAAATCCTTCTTTGTTTTGTCCGCAGTTCTCTATTTGACTTTGGGGATAAGCTTGACTACCTAGCCTTAGGCCAGCAGAACAACCCACTCTCCTACCAGCTCCAGACCTCCTACCCCTCCACTCAGCCCCAGCACCAACCTCAGGCATCTCTGTCCCGCATGGCCTACCTCACCCCCTCCCCCTCCCCCTACCTTACCCCCAACCCTCCAGATTCCAACCCTACCTCCTACCTGACCTTCGGCCCCGGGGGAAACTCCACTGGGATTGTGACCTACTCCACTGGAGGCCAAGCTTACTACCAGTCCCAGAGCGCAGGACAAATCCTGCTGCAGTCGGCCGGTCATCCTGGTGAGTCAATAAAATGAGATTTTATTAGACTTCCTCATGGAAAAACAAAAACACACCAATCGAAGGGGTTTAAGCACACTGTTTTTCAAAGAACCAGATATTTACCTACACTAAGAAGATTGTTTTGCAGGTGTGTTGGTTGGTTTGTTTGCCTATCAACAGGATTAAAGAAAAAATACTGTCCAGATTTCCTTGAAACTTGGCAGAAAGATGTATCATGTGCCAAAAGAGTGGAAGAGTTTAATCCCTATCCAAGCCTTGAGTGCCCAGAATGCTAGTCACCAAACATTTTCTGTCCAGAAAAAGAACATCATCTTTTAATTCCCCAAAAAGTAGCCCACTCTGCTGCAGTTGGTTCTTGAGCAAGAACTAGACCATTAACAGATGTGCTTATAAGTGTATTAGTTTGCCATTTTTACTTTTGACTAGTGACAATCAGCTCCTGCTGATTTTGTGCTGATTGCTCTCCGATAAAGCTTGATTGTCTCATTGAGTGGTCGGTGTTCTGCAGGTGGGATCCCAGCCTACCAGTCGTACCCCTGGGGCAGCATGTACAGCCAGCCAGCCCTGCACCAGCGCTCTCAGTGCCCTCCAACTTACTCCGGCAGCCGAGGTGCTCGAGACCCCCAGCCGCCCTCCTCCAACACCCTGCCTCCCCCTTCTTACTTCATCCGGGGGGACCACGCCGTGCCCTCACATGCAAACTCCCAGCGATCATCCCACACCACCACCAGCAGCAGCAGCAGCAGCAGCTGCACCACGGTCCTCCCCCCTGTGTCCACCCTGCGGCCCTCTCGCCTCAGAGCGGAGATCACTCCCACCAAGGCTGCCTCCCTGCTGTCTTCTCAGGTCAGCCCTGCCTCCCCAGACAGCTCTCCAGTGCCCCCGTGTGTCAAGATTGAGTATGACAGCCCTCGAGAGATTCACAGCCACTTCCACTGCGACTTCTCCCTCAATAATTTTTGAAGACATGTTTGTTTGTGTGAGAGTGTGTGCTTTAAGTGTTAATATAATATCCTGTTTAAATGTAAGTATTTCTGTGTTTTCCATTTGTATTACTATTAGGATGTTCTCGATATTACTGTAAGCTGGTTCGGTTGGGCTGCCTTTAGCTGCAATAAATGCTCATTGTTCTGTTAATCCTTATTTATGCATTTGACCAGCATTGCTGTGATTTCAATCATGTTATGGCTCAGAGGAAAGTTTTTATTGAGAAAATGTGGTTGCAGACCGGAGAGGGGCGTGGGAGGCGGGTTAATTGCAAAGCGTAATTGTTCCCCACATCCCCATCAGTATGTGCATGCATATTCACATTTTGACTTAGTGTTTCAAACACACAAATAGGCCTTAATGCGAAGTTAAAAAAATGATAGACAAAGGTTAAAGAGTGGACTGTGTAAACATTTTAATAGAAGCTCGCAACACCTTTGTCATAAGTTATAATAGTTGACACATATTGTGGAAGTTTTATTTATATAGCACATTTTTAAAACGATTTTTGGTCGAGCCAAAGTGCTGTACATGCAATAAAAACACTTTACTGCGATAGCAAAACAGAAGACAATAAATTACAACAGCAAATATAAAAATCAAACAAGTACAAGCACATTCAAGTTCAAAGTAACTGACTTTTTTTCAGTGTGGATCATTTACTACAATGTACAGATAAATCTCTCAGGAACACTCACTGACCCACTGAAACATGGTGGTGGTGATGGATTAGGGAAACGTTTAGGATCATTACTGCACAGATTGATAATAGATAGATACTTCAGTGATCCCCACGGAAATTCATGTAGAAACTATAATAACCTCCAATGTCATATAATGATTTTCCAGCTATGTTTACAGAACCATAGGTTAAATTCTGTCCTGATAACAGGCCTCAGTGACTCGTCCTAATGGGATCTGCTGGTGATGTAAATGGCCTCAGGTCTGTCTTTAGGCCACAAGAGGACACTGTTCCTTCATGTGAGACGACCACATGCTGGGTTTATCTGACAGCATGTTGGGTTCTCAGACACCCCTCTGTCGTGGGATGTGAGACGGTCGATAATCCAATGGAGGGGAAACGGGACAGAGCTGTTTCCAGGGTAGAGGTATCCTAGACAATCACTGATACTGCCCAAATCCTTAATCCATGTTGCCATCTGCTGTGTTCACACACCAACTGCACTCTCTGTTTATCCTTAGTATGCAAGCCAGGTGAAGGGCTTGCGGAAACCAAATCTCTGTATGAAACTCCACCTCCGAAAGACCTAAAGGCATTTTTTGAGACTAGATAAAAGACATTGGGAACAATTGTCTTTTTTTTGCTCTAAGTATTGAAAGTAAAGCAACAAAAGTTTCTTGTTTTAACTGTAGTTAATATTCCTGGTCCGTAGTCGTGCTGCATGTAAAGTAAAGTTTGAAGTGAAGCTTGGATGATGATGTGGGAGTAAGAGAAGGAACTGTTTGATGAGAGCGAGGAGGAGGTGGCAGGGACCAGGGGAGCAGATAAAGGAGGGGGGAGACGGAGGAGTGAGGCAGTGTGTTGGTCGGGAAACAAGGGAGGAGAGCAGAGATGAGCTGTTGCTATGGGAGGAGAAAAGGATGATGGGTGGGCTCTGCCAGCAGGCGTGGGTGGGAGAAGAAGATGGGGATGAGAGAGAAGTGTGTTTGGAGCACAGGGGGTTCTGGGATGAACAGAACTCTTGGTTATGTAACTGCAGTGTTTGGGTTTTTAATGAACCTCGCTCTTCCTGCTCACTGGCTACTGAGCTGTTACTGTTGGCAGGAGCAGCGCAGCATAAACACACACACATACAAACTTCATTTCTCAAAGTCTCCTGCATAAAGAGACACACACAACACATTCATTTCAGGAATGAAAACCCTGTGAGTGTGAGAGATTTATCCAAACTCAGTGAAGCGGAGTTTCTACTCTGGACTTTAGTTTTAATTTGTGTAAAGGTCTGTATGTGTGTCTCGTGTCACTTCGCACACTTTCAGCTTTCTTCCCATTCACATGTCAGGGAGCTTGCATGTGTTACTGAGGAGGGTTTCATGGAGGTTTAACTTTGTAATTAATTTTTCCACAACTTCCCTGGTGTGAACAGAGAGTGCTCAGAGCACAACTGGAGGGCACGTGTGTGTGGTGTGTGTGTGCGTGTGTGTGTGTGGTGTGTGTGTGTGTGTGTGTGTGTGTGTGTGTGTGTGTGGTGTGTGTGTGGTGTGTGTGTGTGTGTGTGTGTGTGTGTGTGTGTAAGCATATATACATGTGTGTGTGTGTGTGTGTGTGTGTATATATGTGAACACAGGTATGGGATGCTTCAGTTCACCCGAATCCGCCATGTCAATATTTACTCAGTATTCTGAGATTTGAAGAAAGGGAACTTGTTTCAATATTTATGGCTGTGGTCTAACAAGAAATCCTCGCACTCTTTCCAAACCTTCTGACTCACACACACACACACACACACACACAACAACACACACACAACACACACCACACACACACAACACACACACACACACACACAACACACACACACAACACACACACACAACACACACACACACACACACACACACACCACACCACACACACACACACACACACACCACACAACACAACAACACACACACACACACACACACACACACACACACACACACACACACACACACACACACACACACACACACACACACACACACACACATTATTATTACTTACTTATTGATGTAACTGATTGAAAGTAATGGGCTAATGTTGGTTGTGAAACAAAGCTGAAACGTGGCTTGGAGATCCTCCAGTGCTTTGCTGCTCTGGTCCAGGGTGTTGATTTTGAGTTTGTTTTGACACAGATACAACAAATAGACTTGTGTTGGGTTCGGAGGAACAGATGACACGAGGGAGAACCGCTGGGGAAAACAACTTACTGGATAAAATGAATAGCTTAGTCTGTTCAAACGCTGTGTAAACAAGAATACAAACAGTGGCAGGCCCAGATTTGACTGATATATAATATCTCACTTCACCATGTTGATAGTAAATATATTTGAGGAGAGCTGTGTACTTGTATACAAATGCTAATGACATGCAGTGTGGCAGGGATGAAGAAAAGTGTTTTCGACTTGTTTTCATTTACTCAAAGGGTCTGGCAGGACTATTGTGATGAATATCCTCTAAATGTAGCCGGCTGCAGTGGTCTGGCTGTTGGCAGAGAATAAGGAATTACAGGAACATTCACTTTTTTAGTAAAAAAGCAAATATGCTCTGTCTTTATATTAGATTTCTGTTTTGCTACTGGGGAAGGAAATGGTGAAGGACAAATTGGGAAAGGGGAAAATAACTTTTGGGCTGATAGTAAATGTGCTCAACTCATTTGTGTAGGTTATCCAATTTGGATTGTGCTAAGTTAGAAAATCCTTTTGATTTGACTTTTTTTATTAATGATTAATATGATCATCATTGCCTCGAATCATTGATTGATTCATCGATTACTCAATCGATCGTTCTATAAAACGTCAGAAATGTCTTTGAAATTAAGTTTTTTAACAGAATTCAAACCCAAAGGCATATATATATATATATATATATATATATATATATATATATATATATATCTATATATATATAGATATATCTATAGACGACTGAATATACCAGTAAAACACACTTGAGAAACGGCAACCAGCACATTTTGGGTTTGGCTAAAGAATAGACTTCTAGACTATTTATCAACATTGATGATGATTCATTTTCTGATTATTGATCATTTCAGAACATTTAGTTATAATAATGCCAACATTCAGTAATCCAAGCGAATCTTATGTTTTACAATAACGCTAATTATTTTTGGGGGTTTTGACTGTTGGTCGAACGAAACAAGACATTTTAAGTATTTTTACACAGTGAACAATCAATTTGAATCATAAAAATAAAATATAACCAAAAAGTGTTATTGGAACTGACCATCTAGTATTGTTATAGTGTCTGTCACACACAGTTGTTATTTTTATCAGTTTAAACAGATTTGAGGCTTTTATTCTCCACAGTTCACCTCTATTACCAAGAAACTCTAAACATGTGTAAACACCAGATGAGAAATTAGTTTCTTGGTTCTGTGAAATGGTTCACAAATACTGATGGATGCAGGTAAACCTCATCCAGCTCACTAATGTCCAGCCTGCCAAGCAGACCGAGGTTACATAACCGGTATGTGTGTATGTGTGTGTGTGTGTGTGTGTGTGTGTGTGTGTGTGTGTGTGTGTGTTTGTAACTGTACTAATTATGTTTGTGTGTTGACCAATATGTTTACGATTATGACTGTGTATTATCTTATAAGCCCTTAGAGGACACGCTGTCCAGGAATAACATCTCGAATCTTTCATCTCAGGCCAATTGCCAATTAAATAAACACACACACACACACACTTGATTTTACAGCTTGTTCAGTAGGAAATCTGTCTGGCCAGTTACTGTACAGCTTGAGCCCTAATTCCTCTTCCCCTCCCAGACTTACCCCCTGAATTGCGGCTTGTTCAGGTCGTGTGTGTGGGTGGAGGTGTGTGTGTGTGGTGGAGGAGGAAGGGGTGGTGCGGAGGAATGCAGGGTTGGGTCGGGTGGAGCGGGTTGTCGGAGGGAAAAGAGGGGTCTCTGTTTAGTGTGTAGAGAGATTAAAGATTTGTATGTGAGTATTGATGAAAGTGTGTTTACTCCGCTGAGGCTGGCCGCCTACCTGACAGTGGAGAGGAGAGTAATGAGGAAATAGGAGCGAGGAAGAGTCGGGGGACAGATTTTTTTTTAATGGTTGCAATAAGGAAATCTTAACCTTCTATCCTTCTCTGCTCTGTAGTCAAAGTTTTAAAAAATCACAAATATAGAAAGGGTGGGAGAAACAAGTAGAAAAGTAGAAACAAGTGATAGAAAAACACAAAACTGTACGTTTAATTCAGAAGCTGAATTTAAGAATCCAAGAATTGACTTGTATACTTCAATTTATACAGAAATGCATGCTTATGCAAAAATGCACGCACACCTCCCGACATGCATAGCAGCGGGAACACTGAGGCCTGTGTACGGTGGCTCTCCTTCACTTCCGCACCATAAATGTGTGTTTGCTATAAGAGGGAACACGGGGAGAAAAGAGGAATTCATGTGGCTGTTTATTTGAGCTTTTGGCCAAATCCAACCTGGGGCGGTTGCGTTGGCGCGCACCAAACCCCAGGCGCTCCTGTACCCCCCGCCACACACACATACTGTACACGCTCAGGTACTCAAGCACACACAACACACATTTTACTACTCACTGACACACACACACACACACACATACCTGTCCATCCTAGCCATATCAAGGTGTGTTTGTCTTTCCTTGCCCACCATCTTAGGTCCTCCCAGAGCAGGTATTTCCTCACACACACACACACACACACACACACACACACACACACACACACACACACACACACACACACACACACACACACAACACACACACACACACACACACACACACACACACACACACACACAACACACACACACACACACACACACACACACACACACACACACACACACACACACACACACACACACACACACACACACACACACACACACACACACACACACACACACACACACACACACACACACAACACACACACACACACAGCACAGCAGCTATAGAGGTAGGGGGGTGTGTCTGTGTGCTGAGTTGTGTGAAGCACTTGCATTGATAACCTGCAGCTCAGAGTCACTCAGACTCACTTTGTGGCCGTCCCTCTCGCCTGGAACTCCCTTCGTCTTGCTCTGTCTCCTTTCTGGCTCTCCACTCTAGGACTGTCTGCGGACACGCTCAGACCCCCGCGTTTACTCGTCACCCCTCTGTCGCCATGACGCCTACCCCACTGTTTTTCCTGCTGCTGCTCGGCCTCATGGGGGCTCGGGCCACCGTAGACCTCCGCACGGCCGCCGCAATGGGTAAGAAAGATGACCTTTAACCCTTAAATTTGATTCTGACTCCAGCTGAAGACTCTCTGATGGTTTGGTACCTGACATTAACACATCAGTAGTTATCTTAGCAAAAAACTATTCTGAGGACAGTAAACCTCAAAATAGACACAACATGATAAAGCTAAGTATACTTATATTTCTAGTGATGTAACAGCGTTTCTGACGAATATCCCTCTGGTCTGATTCAAGTCTTTTCAAAATAAGTGGCTATCTGATGTGTTTGAGCCAGTTGTTGTAGATTTGCAAAAGTTCCTGAAAGTAAACAGAATTAATGGAGAACAATTTAAAAAGTTACATTTACTTTGAAATTAGTCTGGATAATTAAAAAATAATGTTCTCCAACAATTAATTGATTTCTGTATTTGAAGTCTCTTTGGGTATTTATGATTTTAAATTATTAAAGACGGCAGTGTTTTTGGTATCGTTGCCGGTGGTTGGATGGTGTACGTGCACAGTTTGAATGAATTGGCAGTTGGAGCACTGTGTGTGTGTGTGTGCGTGTGTGTGCGTGTATGTGTGTGTGGGGGGGGGGGAGCTGTAATGTAGAAATTTGTAGGAGGAAAAACCAAAGGGAGGGAGAGAGGTGAAGGGTGAGAAGGGAGATCAGTGATGTTAAACAGACACTGGAAGTTTTAATGATTCATTTAACGGGGCCTCAAATGCTTGGACTGTCTTAAAATCACATCCTCTCCGAGTCAAAGTGTTTTATTACCAGAGCGTCTTTGACACACATGTGATAGCTCCATCGGATGTTTGTAGCTGAACAGTCATACGTTTTTTACATATAGTTTAAAAATCTCTTTCTTAAGATCAACTTTTTCTTAGATTTATTTTCTAAGCTTTCGGGGTACATTTTATTGTATTTTGTTACGTTTTCTCTCTATTAAGATGTATTGATATTATAGTAATTCTTAATATACACAGTATAAATCAGGCGACTTCTAATGTGTCTTTCTTTGGCCTGCATCCTTGTTTAATGCCAAGCATTTCTCCACCTCTCCCTCCACCCTCGCCTCTCTCCACCTCTGCTGCCTCCCTGCATCCTGTTTTTCGGACTCCTCCCACTTTCTCACCAGCCCCCATAAGTCCCCCCTCCCTTCTCCCCTCAATACATCCGTTCTTTCCATGCTCCTCCCACTCTCCCCCCTTTTTCCCCTTCTTCATTAACTTCATTTTTTAATAATTGTGTGGACTTATAGTTGAAAAATGAGAAAATATGCATAATAATCTCCCTTCTGTCCTCCTTTTCTCATGTAGCGGCAGGTTTGTGCAAAACTCGACCCACAGACATTGTGTTCATCGTCGACAGCAGTCGGAGCGTTCGCCCTTCAGAGTTTGAGCAGGTCAAGGTCTTCCTGGCTAAGGTCATCGAGGGTCTTGATGTTGGACCCAACGCCACCCGTGTGGGAGTTGTCAACTACGCCAGCCGCGTCAAGAGCGAGGTTTGGGGTTCTGCTAGCCTTCACTATCACCCAGCAACGTTTACATGTATTTGTCATGTGATTTTATAACACTGACTTTCCTATTATGCAACTGCAGGTGTCTCTGAAGACGCATCGCACCAAAGCCGGTCTGATTAAAGCTGTGACGAAGATCGAGCCCCTTTCCACCGGAACAATGACCGGTCTGGCCATCCAGTTTGCCCTGAACGTGGCCTTCAGCGAGAGCGAGGGTGCTCGCGTCAAATCTCCCGATATCAGCAAGGTCATACACACATTTACATGCATTCACACATGCAATTCAACATATTCCATCATTATTATCACCTCTTTAAATACATTTTTTATATAATTGTGCTACTTTACCTTCCCAGGTGGCCATTATTGTGACAGACGGGCGCCCCCAGGACAACGTGAAGGAAGTGGCTCTGCGTGCACGGGATGCCGGTATTGAGATCTTCGCCATTGGTGTGGGACGTGTGGACATGAACACCCTGAAGCAGATGGCCAGTGACCCTCTGGACGACCACGTGGACTACGTTGAGAGCTACAGCGTCATCGAGAAGCTCACCAAGAAGTTCCAGGAAGCCTTCTGTGGTAAGATGAGATGGAGGGAAGAGGAAGATGGAAAGATAAGAGTTTCATTGTATAAAATTAGAGGAACAGATGTAGAAAATTGGTGCTGATTGATGGAAATAGACAAAGATGGTTAAAAATACAAAAAAAGACAGGGTGAGTCATCATCATTATCCTTCATCACTGTGGAAAGAGCTGCCCCCCTATTCTAAGGGTAAGGTGTCACTTTCATTCCTTTATGTTGTTCCCTCACTTTTGTCCTCAAAAAGACTACAGTAGACTCACTCAAGTGTACAAACTGATTGAATACTCCCATTGCAGGAGGGCACTAGGGAAGGAACAACCTAAAGGAACGACATCAGTCCTGTTCTTCAGTCAAATCTCACATAGCCGAGAGGCAACGCTGATCTCTCTTTAATTACCGATACATTAGTGACAGTCATTAAACCTCTTATTAGTAATGCCCTTTGGCGGTCTGCTGCAGTTTTGGCTGCTGCCTGCCAGCCAATCACGCTGCAGATGTTTCATCCAAGGGCGGAATTGCATGATCACAGTGTTGGATTGTTATTGGACGAGCCTGCACTATTTAGTTTAATCTTGTTTAATTGAGGCTACTCCAATCTATTCCACCTGTCAGTTTTAAGGGTCCACTGGATACACGTGTCATTCACGCTCATTCAAAATTGTTTGCTGCAAGTGACAGTGGATCATTAAAACCCAATGCTAGATATTCCCGTTTTCAAACTGACATAGTTTCATTCTCTCCTCCTAACTCCAAACACCCCCCCCCCCTTTGTGTGTGTGTGTGCTTGCACCTGGACATATAACCTCCTGGGTGTATGTGTGTTCTGCACGCACACACACACAGTGTCGGACCTTTGTGCCACCGGGGATCATGACTGTGAGCAGGTATGCATCAGCTCCCCCGGATCATTCAAGTGTGCCTGCAAAGCTGGCTTACCCTCATGGACAATGGTCGCAGCTGCAGTGGTGAGTGGTTGTGTGTGAGTGTGTGTGTGAGAAGGTTTTTATCCAATGGCGGTCACTGTGCTCCCAGAGTAACATGCTCTGTTGTGTGTCCGCCATCACCAGCTTGCAGCAATGCAGCGACAGACGTAGTGTTCCTGATCGACGGCTCTAAGAGCGTGCGTCCTGAGAACTTCGAACTGGTCAAGAAGTGGATCAACCAGATCGTCGACAAACTGGATGTTTCTGAGGCCAAGGCTCACGTTGGACTGGTTCAGTACTCCAGCTCCGTCAGACAGGCACGTGTCTGCATTTGCTATTTTCATGTCACCTCAAAATCTGCCTCCTTCTCTTCTGTATCAATGTCATGTTTTCTCTTTCCTCCTGCAGGAGTTCCCTCTGGGTCGCTTCAACAACAAGAAAGACCTGAAGGACGCTGTGAAGAAGATGGCCTACATGGAGAGGGGAACCATGACAGGCCAGGCCCTCCGTTATCTGACAGACAACAGCTTCAGCGCCGGAGGGGGCGCCCGGCCCGGAGTCGCCAAGGTGGGCATCGTCTTCACTGACGGACGCAGCCAGGACTACATTGGAGATGCCGCCAAGAAGGCCAAGGAGCAGGGTGAGGAGGAGAGGATGGTTTAATGCCCAATGCATGATTGTAATACAAGACGTTCCAATCTGATGCCTACTTTTATCAAATGAGTTTTCAGCAACTTAAATATGATTGATATGATATGATGTATGAGATTTCCTGCAATTCCATGTATAATATATATTAAAACGTAATAAATAATTGGGTTTTAGACTGACAAACAAAATTGGAATGGACATTTTCTCACTATTAATCAATTAATCTAGAATTTAGTCCTCAGTTAATAATATAAATAACTCTTAGATGCAGCTCTAGTCAGATGAGGAAAACCTATATGTGTTTATGTTTCAGGTTATAAGATGTACGCTGTTGGAGTGGGCAACGCAGTGGAGGATGAGCTGAAAGAGATTGCCTCTGAGCCGACTGGAGAGCACTACTTCTACACTGCCGACTTCAAGGCCATGACCCAGATCGCCAAGAAGCTGCAGATTAACATCTGTCAAGGTCACATATTATGATTAGATACAAACAATAAACATACTTGTGTTATTACAGGTCATTTCACTATAAGTACTGCGACATTAGCTCATAACTTGTGCTTTCTTTCCTACAGAGGAGGACCCTTGTGAATGCGACTCCCTTGTAAAGTTCCAGAAAAAAGTAGAAGACGCCCTGCAGGCACTAACAAAAAAATATATCCTTTACAACGGCTGACATGGTGTAAGAATAGTTTGGCATTTAAATGTATCATATTTTTCTGTCTGGTTTTTCTTCATTGTTGGCGTCCTTGACAAATTATTACTAGACAGCATGTCAAAGAGGATTGCCTTGCTGGAGAACAAAATCGTCTGAGGACCCACATCCCACTCTGCACACTCTGCACACACACCCACATACACACAAACACACAATTTTTACTTCCTGTAAAATACTGAAGAGGATCCCATGTGTGTGAACCCTGACCTCTGCTTGTATCCGAGCTCTCCCACATCATCTCTGCGCCATCCTCTCTCGATCTTACCTCTTCCACCTTTGGGTCTCCTGGGAAACAAAGCGCCGGTTGCCATGGAGACCACGCCTTTTTGTGTGTTCAGAAGGCCATCGTCCATAGCCAGCCTGTGTGTTTGTTAATAAAAAACTTCCCTCATAGGGAAACGGTGACGGTACACTGAAGGGTTTTCTTTGTGGCTGCCAATAATGAATTTCCCCAAAACCCAAAGTCTGTGTCTCATCCTCCGCACTTGTTTGTCTTTTTCCCTGTCTCTCCTCTCAAATCTGAAGGCTTCCACTTTCTTCTCCCCCTCATCTACTATTATATATGGTGTACATATATACATATAAACAGGTAAATTAATATAAGATATATGTCTGAAAATAAGGGTACACCATTTATGTTTTTTTATTTTCCTAAATAAAGGTGATTCAGGAAGTACATATGATAAATTGTGAAAATATGATATGCACACATGGACAAAAAGCAATTCCTACTTTTACACTGTTTTATTTGATTTACTATGAATATGTGCACACAGAAAAGTTATATGGTCCAACATATGGGCTCTGAGGACCACAAGGGCCTGACAGGTGCTCACATTAAATGGTAAACAATTTAATGTATTGTCAACAGCAACCTTTACACTTACAACAACTAAATTGTTGTTCTGCCTAAATTCTACATTGAAGTATTATAATTATCCTGCATTTATCAGGACCAAATCAAAGTAGGATCCATACTTGGATTTGTCGGGTTTGTGGTCAACAAAAGGTTTACTCCTGCAGTGAAGCTTTGGTACTAACGAAGTGCTTCAATAAAAGTAATTAATTGTTTTGCTGATATAAAAATAATTCAGATAGCCCTTGCTGAATACAAATGTTCTGCATTCTGCTGTATAGAAGAGAGAGCAAGTTTAAGACATTTATCTGGTATTATGGTTTCATGTTGCCGTTGTTCAGCATGGAAACATTCAGGGTGTTCGGTAGACACTACACGTGATGATGTGGCTACCTCCCCTGCTATTCTACCTGGTCGGCTACCTGGTGCTGGGGATCTCCGGGACCGGTGTCGCTCCCGACGCTGAACACCCACAAGACACACCTGCGCTTGATGTGTGGCCTACCCCAGGCACCATGGCTTCCCCGGATCCAGTAAGAGTTTTTGCCATGATGACAACCCCGCTGCTCGCGGAGGACCTTCTCTCATGGACGTCTCATCTACCCGGGGTTCTGCCGCGAGGACTACGCTGTCTATGGGCCCAGGGAAATGGGAGACTTTCCCCCTATGCAGCGCGCACTTGCGACGGCAAGCCGACCAGCCCAGCGAGGAGGACCTGGCTTCTAATTCTCCTACTCCTGATGTCGGGTAACGTGAAACCGAATCCAGGCCCAGAACTGTCTCAGCTGCAAACGCCAGAGGAGTTTAGAACGAAAGACGGATTACGTCTTTTTCACCTTAATGTTCACAGCATGATTAATAAGATGGACTCCATCAGAATATGGGCCGATTCGACTGACTCTGATATCATTGTCCTTTCTGAGACGTGGCTCAAAAAGTCGATTACAAATGATATGATAAATATAAAAGATTACAATGTCTTTAGAACAGACCGTGTGGGAAAAGGGGGCGGGGTTGCGATTTATGTTAAAAACCATTTAGACTGCACCTGCATCGAATCCCTAACAAAACCAAAATGCTTTGAACTCTCTGTAATTAAACTATCGCTCCCAAGTGGTTCAGACATTATAGTGGTCGGATGCTACCGCCCGCCCGCTGCCTCAAGCGAAGCCACGAATATACTCTCCAATCTTCTCCATAACTGGACTAAATCCGAGATGGTTTTACTCGGAGACCTAAACTGGGACTGGCAAACGGATTTACAAAACTCTTTCAAGGACACTTGTGACTCTCTCTGTTTGGTGCAACTAGTTAACTCGCCAACTCGGTTAAACCAAAAAGATTTAGAGAAGTCCACTTTGATTGATGTTATTCTTACAAACGCACCTCACCGTTTCTCCGCAGTAGGCACGTTTTGTAATGATATAAGCGACCACTGCGCAATTGCTTGTGTGAGAACCTGTAAGATCCCTAAAGGAAAGCCACGTTTCATTCACAAAAGGCGATTCAAACATTTCGATGAGCAGACGTTTCTACATGATGTTTTTAATAGTGATTTACACATTGTTTCACTTATGACCGATGTTGAGTTAGCATGGAATTATTTTAAATCCACCTTCTTGGCTATATGTGACAAGCATGCTCCTTTTAGGACATCTAGGATAAGCGGTAAAGACAACCCCTGGTTTAATGATTCTATATCCTCTCTCATTCGACAGAGAGACACTGCCTGGGCTAAAGCAAAGAAATCGAATATTCCATTAGATTGGAATCTGTATAGGACATTAAGAAACAAATGCACTAAGCTGATTAAAGACTCTAAATGTGCCTACTATCTTAATGCAATACATGACAATTTGAATAACCCTGCAAAGTTTTGGAAACTTGTTAAATCCTCCTCAGGTTCTATCACTCCAAACAGCCTTCCTGATCTCTTAAGGGTAAATCAGAGTGAAATCAAGGGCAAAATGGATATTGCAGACAGCTTTAATAATTATTTTATTTCTGCTGGCTCAATCTTTGATTCTAGCAACTCAGGGATGATTGCTGCAGAAGGAGAGCCAGGTCCTCCGCCACTTGACCCTGATCAACTGTTCACCTTTGCCCCCATCTTGACCTCTCAGGTTCACAAAGCTTTAATGAGCCTAGATGTAAAGAAATCTTCAGGCCCAGACAAGATAGAGCCGTTCTTCTTCAAAGTTGCTGCAGGTCTGATTGCAGAACCCATAACCTCTATTTTGAATCTCAGTCTTTGTGCTGGTGAATTGCCTAGCTCCTGGAAGTCGGCCATGGTTCTCCCCTTGTTAAAGGGCGGAGACCCCTCTGACCTAAATAATGATCGCCCTATTTCCAGACTGTCTGTAATGGCCAAAGTCTTTGAATCTCTTGTAAACGAACAACTGAAAAAGTTTCTAACTGACCATAATATTCTTAACGAGTCTCAGTCAGGCTTCAGATCAGGCCATAGTACTACTTCAGCGGCTATGCTAGTCTCAAATGACATAATTGAAGCACTAGACAAGAAAAAACACTGTGCAGCATTGTTTGTTGATCTGTCTAAAGCTTTTGATTCTGTGGATCATGCATTGCTACTGCAGAGGCTTGGCTGCATAGGTCTTGGCAAAATGGCTTTGAGCTGGTTTAAAAACTATCTATCTGAAAGAACTCAGTGTGTCTCAGTGGAAGATTATACCTCAGCTGCTCTTACTGTAAACAAAGGTGTTCCACAAGGTTCTATTTTGGCCCCTGTCTTATTCTCCATCTTTATAAATGAACTAGGAAATGGGATAAACCCAGCACGGTTTCATTTATACGCCGATGATACAGTTGTTTACACAGTGGCTTCCTCTTTAACCCAGGCCATAGAGCTTCTACAGGATGCTTTTAATACACTGCAACACTCCTTGCTAAGGCTAAGACTGGTCCTTAATGCAAAAAAGACCAAGTACATGACCTTCTCTCGCTCTCGAGCTAATACAGCTGTCCCTCCGATTCTGACACTGGAAGGGACATGCCTTGACAAAGTAGCATCCTACAAATATCTGGGCATATGGATTGATGAAAAGATGGCCTTTGATGTTCATATTGGGAACCTACTGAGAAAACTTAGACCTAAACTGGGCTTTTTCTTCCGTTTAAAGAAATGTTTCCCGTCTGAAGCCAGGAAGAGAATTGTGCAGAGTTCCTTTCTGTCTGTATTAGACTATGGCAATGTGATCTATATGCATGCTCCTTCCTCCCTGCTTAAAAAGCTGGATTCTGCGTACCATACTGCTATACGTTTTGTAACGGGTGCAGGCTCTCGCACCCACCACTGCACTTTGTATCAATCCCTAGGATGGTCCTCTCTGTACCAAAGAAGACAATCACACATGTTGATTTTTATCCTTAAGTCATTGCTAGGTAAGCTGCCCTTATATATCTCCAGACTTCTGTCCTTTTATACTTGCTTTTTTAATACCAGACGAGCAGCAAATGGGATGCTTTTAAATGTTCCTTTGATGCAGTCAGAGCTTGGTAAAACTGCATTCTCCCACTATGCTCCCTTTTTATGGAATACGCTGCAAGTAAAACTTTGTCGAGAGGCACTTCCTACTGTAAATGCTTTTAAAGGTATGCTACGATTAGCCCTTCATGAAACATGTAACTGTTTTACCTGATGCTATTGCTGATGTGATGATGCTTCTTGCCACTGCACAAATGGCCTTCTGTATTTATATTTGAATTGTATGTTTTTTGTTTAATGCCCTTGTTTTATGTTGAAACTTGTTGTGTGCCGTGTTGGTCAGGACTCCCTGGAAGAAGAGATCTTGTATCTCAATGGGACATTCCTGGATAAATAAAGGATAAATAAAATAAAATAAATACAAATTATGCCCATTTTTTAAATGCAGAAGCCTTTAATAGTTTACATAAAGCTTAATAAAACTAGTAAATCAACAAATGAAGTGTATGCCATAATGACCTCACACCAAATTAAAGGAAGTTAAATGATTCAGAAACAAATACTCTATTTTCGAAGTCCTGAAGTTCATTAGTGAAAAGTTGGGCCCACGTCACAGTGACGTAGCATACGAGGGAAAAAAAAGCTCTCCAACTCCGAACAGCTGAAGGAAACCAGAGAGTGAAAGCTGTCATCTGATCCTCATGAAAGCGGACTTTAAACTCACCTCAACTTCTGGCAGGACGAACACAAACAAATGCCTCACAGAGTTTATAATACCAAGGCATCGTTAAGCGCTGCTAAAAGCTTGCAGCATCTGCTAACAGCAGCTAGGCTAGTTTAGCGAGCTAACCGGCATACCGTCTTTACGGTCAGGTAGCCGGGTTATGAGAGCTTTTTGTCGGCGTTAATGATTGACGGAACAGATGATTGCACAGTGAACCAACACAGGCAACTGACACCTCGAGTATCCGGTAGTTAAGGAAGACAACGCTTGCATCAAGCTAACGTTAACGGTTGGGTTAACAGCTAACGGGAGCTAGCAGGAACATTAGGTAGCTCCGGGGTTCCAACGGTCAAGAGATGGCCAGTAATCCCGCCGCGGGCTGCCT